CCCCCCCCCAAAAAAAAACAAACCCAAACTTTGGTATGAAGAGCAAATCTATATGGATTCCTTCTGCTGTCCCCATTATTTCACTAGAACTGTCCTCATTCTTCCTCTGTGTATTCTTAAACTTGCAGCCTGGAAACAATCTGTTTTCTGGTTTGTGTAACAGTTACCTAGGGGAATAGCTAGGCTAAAAACTTTCTAAAAGCCACTGATAAAAAAAGACTAATTTTCTCTCTCTCTCTGTTTAGCACTTGGTCAGTGAATGGTTAAGTGAAAAGAGTGATAAAACTGGGAAGCCTACAGACAGTCTGTCAGAAAGGCCTCTGCGCATAACTACCGACCCTGAAGTTCTGGCTACTCAACTGAATTCGTTACCAGGTCTCACTTACAGTCCACACGTATATTCAACTCCAAAGCACTATATTCGTTTTACTTCACCATTTCTTTCAGAAAAGAGGAGGAAAAAAGAACCTGTGGAAAACATTATTGGCTCTTGTAAGAAGGTAATACTTCTCATTTGTTATGGTTCCCCATCTCTTATTAAGTAAAAAGAAGTCTTCATTTGCTAGCGTGAATGTGGGCAGAAAAAAGCTGGTGGATAAATCTGTCATGTGTAACGAGTTTTGAAATATTTAACATTAAACTGTTAAGTCAGTGATTTGAACTTGTTCTATTACAGCGCTGGTTGAAGCAGGCTTTGGAAGAAGAAAATACAACAATGATTGATAGATTTAATTCACCATCTCAAGAGAGATCGAGAAGTCCAGCCATCAATGGTGAAAATAAAAGCCCTTTATTACTGAATGACGGCTGTTCCTTAACAGGTGAAGCTTTTACTAACACGGAGCATAAGAGCTGTGTCAGAGTAGTTCAGTGTGGAGGACTGTGTCCTTTAAAGTGATGAGTTAATGAAAATTCCAGGGAGATTTGCACTGTTTCTTGATTCTTTCTGTGAGAGAAACACTTAATTTTGTCATGGTTGGGATTTTGTTGCCCACTTTAATGTATAATTGATACTAGATAAGTAACCACCACATCTCATTGTGTTTACAGTCAACAAAAGACTAATGGTTTTGACTACAAGTATTGAGAGGTTAGATTATAAATAAGTTTTCCATGCTGTTCTGTATATTCAGAATTACTTTTTAATGCAATGGGTTTGTTGCACACAGGGGAAAAGTGGTCATCTTGTAGGCATAGTACAAAATGGGAACATGCAAAAAGCTAAATCCTTCCATAAGGATACGGAGTGTATCAGATGATTCCTGTATGAAGTCCTGAACTTTGAATTTCCACTTCTCAGCTGAACAGTCTTAAATATGCATGGAAGTTGGCTTTGCCTTTTCTGGAAACATAGAAAGCTCTCCCCATCGTACTAGCATGCAGATTTTGGTTACTTATGTCTGTAGGCTCTGAAGAGTTTATTTTTCAGGTATTCTGTAGGCTGTGAAGAGTTCATCTTTCAGGGAGCCTACCCTGAATAGTTGGGGTGGGTTTTTTTGTAATCTTACTGTGTTATCTTTTTGTTAGTATGGAGTTCATAATTTCATTACAGAAAGTACTTAACTGTGATTATTATGTCTAGATCTCTTCTAGCTTTTTTCTAATTTTCCCACTCAGATTTAACCACACCACTAAAAAAACGAAGACTGTATCAGCTGCTGGAGTCTGCGTTCTCAGAAACCTCCACACCTACTCCCTCTCCATATGCCACACCAACTCACGCTGACGGCACTGCCTCCGAGCCTTCCTTGTTCGCTACTCCGCCTAGGGTAAAAGCAGAAGATGAAGCTTGTAGAAATGGTTACAAACCCATCTATTCACCAGTTACTCCTGTAACTCCGTGTGTACATGGAAATACCATGCACTTTGAGGTGAGATTCCTCAAGAACTTCAGCGTGTTCAGAGAATGTGTTTGGATGTTGTGTAGCAGGGGTACAAACACTGATTTACAAGGGGATGTGCTGCATTTCTCCAGGCTAAAAAAGAAATTGACCTGCAATTTGTTCTTATTTATTTAGAATATTTCCTCACCTGACAGTTCTCCCGAAGTCAAACGGCGAGCTTACAGTCAAGAGGTAAGGGCATTTGCCAGAAATGGTGTCTTGATTTCACTCATGGGGCTGCACTGCCCTTCATTAATGCTTTTCACCGGGCATCGTGGGTTTCCTGGAACATAAAGGGGAACTTCCCTACAGTTTTTATTTGCTTACTACTGTGTATTCCCACTTCTCTGTGTCATTTTCTACTTTAAACTGCTTCATCTCTCCTCTTTTTCCGTACCACTTAAAAATCCCAATGGCTGTCATGGAGAGGAGTAACTACTGCAATTCAAAGGAAAAAAAAAAAAAAAAAAAGGCCTGTCTCTGGGTTTAAATTTCCGTGTACTCCGTGTCACTGGCGTCCCTCAGTTGTGCTGGGGGGAGCAGGGGCTGGGCTGGGCACCGCCAGGCCGCCGCCCGCTGGGGGCATCGTTGGGACGGTAGCAGCAGTGGCTGCGCAGTTTGCGTAGCTGGCGTTCTGCAGCGGCAG